TGTGTTTGGTTACTCCCAGTAAAGCAAAGGCTCAGTCTGGGCTAAAAAGCTCTGATTTTTGTTTCTCACGGCGTCCTCATCTGGCGGCTGCACACTGAACAGCGGCGAGGACCTGAGGAAACCCTCGGTCCAGCTGTGTGCTCCCAGCCCTCCCATAGCTCTTGCTGTGGAGGCACAGCTCCAAGCTGCTGGAGGCTCCTTAAACTGACACTTCCGAAATGTAACCACAGCTGCCTGCTTCGAGGAGGTGAAGGAGGGGAGCCTGAAGGATGGTTCTGAGCAGGCAGCTTTTTGTGAGCCATCAACAGCGTAATTGGTGTGCTCCTCTATCCGTTCCTAAATTGTTATCCTCTGTCGCTTCTCGCTTCTTTACCTTTTGCCTGCGGATGCCACAATGTCTGTAATGTCTTTAGAGTCGCGCTTCTGAGCAAGAAGAAAAGGAATTTGGCCCTAAAAAGAACTGGGTGACAAAGGAGAAGAAAATAACCACAAATTAGAGTGTTTGTGTCTATAGAAGACAGGAGTGATAATTAGCGTTCAGACCGTTTGATGGCGCATAAAAGAACTCGTACCTGAGAACTGGTGGCAAAATGTAAATTATAGTGATTAACTTTTACAGCAGAGCTTCTGGCTGGGTTTTATTTTTCTTCTCCACCCCCATTCCCAAAGTCCTTCCTGATGATTGTGCAGATTTCTCATAGCATCCCAGGAGAACGGCATTATGTAGGCCAGTAATTATACAGAATCATTATAGCTGAATGTCATTAAATTAAGCCATATGTGCTGATGGCATGAATTTCCCTACGAAATAAAAAGAAAATCAAACTTTGATTTCCACCTAAACTATGTTTTTTATGGTCCTCTTACCAAAACTAGAAGGAAAATCGTGGCTATTTCTAATTAAGTATCTTTTTCATTCTTAATAATAATTTTACAATACTAATTATTTAATGATTGTAGAATACCCTTATGAATGGCTCATCTGCAATTCTTGCAGATTGTCATGTAGGAGTTGAATTTTTCCTTCATTTAATCCCTGATGTCTCAATAATTGAGGTGGGAGATGGGGACCAGCAGTGGCTCTGTCTGTCCTGAGAATGAGGACTGAACTGCTTCCAGATGAGGTCCAGGTGTCGCAGTGTGATGAATCCTCTGCATGCTTCCTGCTGTTGAACACTCTCATAACTTCCCCATCACTGCCATAGTGCTCCAGCTCAGATTTAGTTTTCCTAGAGTTGATCCAAAGCCTTTTGCTCTTCAAATACGCTCTCAGTTAACAACTGCATCCATTTATCTGCCCATGTCCTATTGACCTGCCTGTGTTTACTCCTAGGATGAAAAGCTTCAGCCCTGTCCACAGTTCCCTGCATAGCTCCTGAAGCAGAATACTCCCAAAATACGATATTGTAAAACCACAGCTCAAAATACGCAGTGCGCTTTACAGAACAGTGTGCTTAAAACTGTATGCTAATTTTCTTGCTCATTCGCCAGGTTTCTCTTGGCATATATTATATGATACGTATTATATTAAATATTTAACTAATAATACTTAAAATGTACAATCTGACTATATAATAAAATATTATGACTATTATATATACATATGCATTTTATATATAGATTTTTACGTAGAGCATCTTTTATCCCCTCTCTCACAGCAATATTAAGGATCGACACTACCAGCCTATCTAGGGGTTATTGTTATTTTCAATCAAGAAACGTCTTGTTACAAGTAGCACCTCCTTCAGAACCACCTGATGGATTAAAGAATTCGGAAATGTGGTCACAACTGCCCTTTTCCTACACTGAAGCAAAAGACTTCTCTACTTCTTGAATGTATTTAGAAGGCGGTAAAAATAACAAAAAGCGCCCCATATGTTTTCTTTGAAGATGTGCATCTTGCCCAGACCTTGGCGTTCTGATTTTGTGGTGGTGATGCCTCACAGATGGGCCTGGTTTACTCAGCATGTGTAGGAGTTTTATTTCAGTATTGAAAAGGAAGAGAGAAGGGGGAATGAAGAGAAATTTACTGACTCTCTCCCCCTAGCTCTTTCTCTTTTTCCTGCCTTCTTGCTATAAATTATGTTTGCTTACATCCGTTACAAATACCAAGGTTGTGATGTGCAGTGCCAAATGCACAGGTTTGATGGACAGGAAAAATCTCTTCCTGTATTTTCCCAATCTGCCATCTTTTGTAGAGGCCTTTCAGATGTACAGATGGAGAGAAGAAGAAAAAAATAATTCCATAGTATAAAATCTGTATTATTGTCACTTGATGTGCATACATATGTGCATCTTGCCCCCGATGTGCGAGACTTCCCAGCCATCCCCACGTACACCGGATGGCGGCACGGGCTGCAGCAGCCAGTGCTGCTGGAGGTGGGAAGGCTGCGGTCCTCTCCGACTCGTCATTAAATCCACACTACTCAACTGCTGGGGCTTAACTTGAGCCACATGAAAATGAAACGCAGTTGAACGTGAGTTTTTAGACTCTCATCTGTTCTCAACCGAGAGAGAGAGGAGAAACTCCAAAGCATTGGTTCTCCCTGTGTCTCCGAGACACCTAATTTAGGACGAGGAGAATCGCCTCCTGAGGATATTTCTCTGTTGACTACAGCAGGAACCAGACAAGTGGCATAGGTTAGGTAGCTGACTTCTATAAGGCTGAATGTAGGTGAGATTGTTTTCCTAAGTAGCAACATAAATTTAACCTTAAATTCCTTTTTCTGTTTCAGTAAGAGACATGAAAATGCATTGTTTTATCAAGAAGTGAAAAGAGTGGTGAAGATTTTTCTGTTAAGCTAAGGAAGAAGAAATTATTCAGTGATTTTATTCAGCCTTCCAGCTAATTTTTATTTCTCAGTCAGAAACTGTTCTTTCCTGCAGGGCCATCTGTTTCAAATTCCTTCCTTGCAGTGCTGGATACAGGGATGAAAATGTATTTAAGTTGTGTAGAGAGCTGATAGAAAACGGGTCTCCAAGTATGTGATGCTATTTCAGTACTAAGGCTGTACACAAAGTTTTCCTACAACTTAGACATGCCTGACCTTTTAAGGTTATAGTAAATACTGTCTTAGGCCCTAGTGCTCCTGATGCGATGCAAGTTGCATCAGATTTGAATATCAGCATAACTACAGCGTAGCTCCCATCTGAAGCCACCCTTCTCCAACAATAAGCTGCAGTTGATCCTCCCAACTCTTCTGTCCAGACAGATTGTGATACACGTTAGAGACCTGCTCAGACTTCTCAATGTAAGAGTCTTTTTTTCCAAATGGTGTCTGCTTTTCGGGCAGAATCCAGGAAGCCCTGATTTGAGAGATGTATGGGTTTCTTCTTTGAGTTGTTGGGGAGTCTTAGAGACGTTTCCTGTTGTAAGTTCCTTCAAAATAAGTGTTCTTCTACAGCCAGCAATTCCAGAAACTGGACTTGGGTTCTTCTTTGCTAATTCAGCTGCAATCTCTTGTATTACTTCTAAGCTGCCTAATAACCACGGACTCTATAGATTTCCCATCTGTGAAGGGTAATGAGGGGACAGTGGTAGATTGCAGCCTTAGAGGTTGCTTACAAAACTTTTCATTACTGTGTGAGATGTTTATAATGAAACACTGATGGAAGGCCCTTAAGAAGAGTGACCTGGTTTTGCTACCCTACCCACTGCTGATGAGTGACATCTTGTGCCCAGAGTTCTGCTTTAAGAACAGTCAAACAAGGTGCACATGCAGACATTTGAGGCAAATTTTGTCTTTGTTCTGTTTTTCTCCTAGTACCATGAGCTCACGACACTCTGCCAGCCCGGTTGTTTTTACCAGTGCCAGAAGCTCACCTAAAGAAGAGCTTCACTCTGCTACTTCTCCCCAGCTCGCACCTTCTTTCTCCTCCTCCTCCTCCTCATCTGGTCCTAGGACTTTCTACCCTCGCCAGGGTGCTACTAGCAAGTATCTGATCGGATGGAAAAAGCCAGAAGGGACAATAAACTCAGTGGGGTTTATGGACTCAAGAAAGTAAGACTCCTTTTTTGGTTCTTTCGTTTGGTTATTTGCTTTAATTGTAAAGCAGCATTGGGATCTGTGATGCTTTTCTGTATTCTAGAGCTCAAGACTTCAGTCGTCTTCTCTGGAGCTTAATCTCTAATCTAGAGTTCTGCAGTTACGCTTAAATATTTGATAGTTGGCTAATCTCATACCCCGTTAACTTGTAAAAGATATTTTTGTAATCATTTCTAGAGAGCTGTATGGATTTCAGTCCCATTAAAGCATCTCCTTTCCTTGTGACTTCGTAAAGGTGACTCGAAATGCTATTTGAGCAAATATGAAAAAGCCAGTTAACACAGAGCCTGAGTTTTCCTTAAGCCTCTCCTCCATGTAGCAGTACCAAGCACGCTGTGCATTTGCTCTGTGGCACTCCATGTTCCCTTTCTGAGGTTGCTGCCAGTCTCCAGTGTAACTGGCTTTAAAGCAAGCCAAGATCTCTCTGTTACAATATGCAACCATCTCGTTTGGAAGAGAAATTGAGAAGCGGCTTATTCGCGAAAATATTGCTCCTTTAAGTTTAGCATGACTTGGAAAGCAAGTGATTTAGAAAGCCCATTTCAGAGTAATTTATTCAATTCTTCATGATTTTTATTGAGTCCAGGACAGTATCTCTAGATGATCTCGATAACTGAGATGGTGAAGCATGGTGAATATTGCATTATAAAAAGCCAGTTAGAAGATTAAAAAACACTTAATGATTTGCTGCTTTTGGGCTCACTGAAGACACTTGTATTTTCTAGTTTTGTACAGAATATACGTTATTTTAATAGATTCACTCCCTTACTGGGAAAATGTATTGTGATAACCTTTGGGTGTGTTGTTCGTTGATTTTTTTAACAGGTTTATTGCTTCAGCAGGTATTCATTAGGATGAGGCTCTGCTGTATTAGTGAAACTCCTTCCTCCGTGCCCCATACCTAGGTTTCAATTTGAAAATCTTCAGGCTGCTATAACTGTTGTTTCATTCATGCCTCTTGCCCGGGGCTTTGAGACCTGAACACGTCTGTTCCCTTTCATTTCAGGCGTCACCAGAGCGATGGCAGTGAAATGGCCCACCCTCGGCTGCGGGCTTCAGCAAGAGATCTACGAGCATCACCAAAACGAGCATCCAAGTCCACTGTTGAAGAAGAGCTGAAGAAATTGATAGATCTCGATAGCCCAACACCTGAATCCCAGAAGAATTTTAAGGTATGTTAAAGAGAGGATCTGTCATCTGGCTATGTCTTGTCACAGTTCAGTGAAATCTGAGGGTATTTGAAGAGCAACGCACAGGTCCTCTTCTGATCCAGGTCCTAGCTGTGTTGTTACACAATAGAAATGTGTAAAGTCACGCTTTGTAAGAATTTGAAGGTTGAATTCATTGCTGCCTAGGCGACTAATACAGCAAACGCATCAGAATTTGGGAAAGGATGAAGGCCATAAACTGCTAAAATTGTTGTGTCGAAAATGCTGAGGGCTTTCTAAACAGCCAAAGCTGAAGCGTTCATTCAGCAGAGCTTACTCAGTTGGCCTTTGCATTGGACTCAAGAGTTTCTCAGGATCTTTATTTATTCTTACCTATAGCAGGAAAATAAAATGCAAGGCATTCCTTGAAGTCTCATCATGGTCAGAAAGTTACCTGTTTGTCACACTTACCAACTGGAGAAATACTTTTGGGGAATGCTTTCGTTATTGTAGTCACTGCTATATTATTACAGCTTTGCATGCAAATTTAAAGAAACTGGTTTACCAAATTGCCAAGAACATTGAGGACTGCTGGCTCCTGGGAAATGCTGTAGTGTTGTCGTACGGATTTGAATCGCTCTTCCCTGATTGCATCGCTGGGCAGTGACTTGTTGGCAGCATTGAAACTCCTTGAACAAAGCATGGGTTTATGTCCTTCGAATTCTGTCCCTTCTAATACTGAACAAGGACCAAGAACGCTCCCTAAACTTAAGCAAATATCTGTACAGAATAGTTAGAAACATTTCCTGACGTGTTTCAAAGTGTGTATAATAACACAAGTGCATGTATTCATTTGAAAAATCCATCGTTTTGAAGAGAACGTCTTGATTCCTACAGTCCCCGTGTACACTCTGTGCTTAACAGCTCAGGCTCATCACCTAGAGCCGAAATGGTTTCCACAGCAACCATGCAGAACAGAGTGCTGCAGCTTCTTTCTTTGCTTGTAAAAACCCAGAGTGGCTTATTAAAACTTGGAAGTGCTAGGTTCTGTACACAGACTGCTTCAGATGTCACCTCTGAGGCTGGAGAAAAACAAACAGCTCGCCAATGGCAAGATATCTTTTTTATGAGGTTTGTGGTAGTTCTGAGGGGAGTGGGATGTGGGTGGGATGTGGGTGAGGAAAACATCTCCTGTTGGTGGTTCTGCTTTGGGTTAGAGAGTCAAGTCTTACCCTGGTCTTTATTTCCTGTGACAAGTGTGTTAACTCACGTTGCACTTCTGATAAATTTCAGCGAGTTACTAACATTTTATCACACCAATAAATCAAAACTTTGCCACTTTAAAGTAACTGTCAGTTCTGCCCACTGCATGATTTATATTTCATCTTACAAAACAGTTGCTCATACAGCATAAATTTTATTGACAGTTAAAAAAAAAAAGATAAAAAGAATGATAATGCCCTTCACAAAGACCAAAAATCTTCCTCCTTCCTGTCTGCTGGCTGCCAAAGGCTTTCTTTGCCAGCAGAATTTTTTCTAGGCTGTGATTTTGTCTTCTGCATCTTTTTATTATGCTTCCAGCCTTCCTTATCTCCTTACCTACTCCTTATGCATGACATTTTCTCAGGGAAGTCACCCTTCTTTTCTTCTCCTCCCTCTGCTCTGTTACCTGAAGACAATTCCTACTCCTATTGCCTCTGTTCCGACTCCATCAGATGTTCATATCTGTGCAGCCTTTTAATCTCCAGGCCTGATAATAACTGGCAGATCCAGCTCCTAATTCTTTAACACTAAATGACTACGTGACCCTTGAGTAAGCACTGCTTCACTTAGCAGCTCGCTCTTTTCGTTTGCCACTCCAGGATCAGGACTGGAAGGTTTCCCTGAATCATAACATGAACCTGCTGAGTGAGCTTTTAAATTTCGGAATAAAATAGCAGCTTGTCCCTCAGCGTAACATGGTGACAACTGTGTACCAGAGGCTGTCACTTCTGTACCGTTAACTGTAGATGCAGGGGTCATGCTGTGATGGGCAAGTCCTGAGGGAGGCAGCGCAGAAGGGAGAAGCTGACGTAATAGAAACTTGGCTCGGCACACGGCTTCTCTTTCCTTCCTTGTCTTTTGAAGGTAGCAGGGTTTTGAAAGTAATCTTAATTTTTTTCTGATCCTTAATCATAAAACCAAAACGCGCAGCTGTCTTTTAATATTAAAATTTGTAATCTTTTGGAAAAAACCATGACAGATTGTCTTCCACTGTACAGTACCAATAGTCCCACATCCATGCTCTTCTTCCACCTTGTGGTGTAGGATTTTGATCACAGGAATAGAGTATCGTCTGTTTAAACACTTTTTTTCCTATTTTTTCCATGTAAATGAGCAACTCTGTTTAATCACACTCCTGGAAATCGTATTACCTCCTCTTTTTAGTAGGGCAGAGAGGTTCTCCTGCCCCTCTGCTCTGCCCTGCTCACACCACAGCTGCAATCTTGTGTCCAGTTCTGGTCCTCAGGTCCAGAAGGACAGGAACTGCTTGAAAGAGTCCAGCAGGGCCACAAAGATGCTGGAGGGAGTGGAGCATCTCCTGCTGAGGAGCGGCTGAGGGAGCTGGGGCTCTTGAGCTTGGAGCAGAGGAGACTGAGGGGTGCCCTCATTCCTGGGGATCCATTTGGAAAGGGCAGTGTCAGGAGGAAGGAGCCAGGCTCTGCTCTGGGATGTCCAATGCCAGGACAAGGGGCAGTGGTCCCAAGCTGGAGCACAGGAGGTTCAAGCTGAAGATGAGGACAAACTTTGTGAGTGTGAGGGTTCTGGAGCATGGCCCAGGCTGCCCACAGAGGTTGTGGAGTCTCCTTGTCTGCAGACACCCAAAGCCCTGGCCGTGTTCCTGTGTGACTGCTCTGGTGATCCTGCTCTGGCAGGGGTTGCACTGGGGGAGCTTTCCAGGTCCCTTCAACTCCTCATATTCTGTGATTTCTGTGATTTCTCTTTGTTTCTACTTGCTTACAGATCAAATGAGGGTGGTGAGGTCTTCCTTTCTGTTTGCCATTTCTCCATGAAAGCCTCTGAACCAAATTTCAACCAAACCATAAAGAAATGCTATGTCTTGGAGATAGTTACAGGTTGCTACAGGTTTCATGAAAGTCAGTATCTGTGCTGATGGGAATGGTTTTGTGTTTGTTGATAGCAGCTCGCTGGCACTGGCCAGAGGGTTCATAACTCCAGGCCATCCACAGCTGATGGATGGAGGAAGCTGGGGTGATGGTGGGGGTGAGGCACACGTTCTCTTACTCATGGGACTGTTTACTTCATTTTTATTCAAATCCTGAAGAATCAGAGCCGTGGTGGGCATTCCTTGTTGCTCAGCAATGTGAGGCTGTATTAATTAATTGGCATTTGCTGGTGCTCTGCCTGCAGGAAGGCAGCCTCCTCCGGGCAGAGGGAGAGCTCTGGTTTACGCAGTGTTCACTCTGTTTCTGTACACGTTATTTCTGCTGCTCCTCAGCTCTAGAGTCCACGAGGGCTGTTGGAGATTTCCACTTCAGGAGAAGTGTGAAGGGTATTTAAAAGGTAGAAGGTGAGACAGGCTAAAAAAGTTACCTGGTTGTAATCCTCATAGCAGATTCCTTTAGGTCTTTTCCTGTGCGCTCTGAAAAAAATACTATGTTAACATATGTTTTCTTAAAAAGTTTTAAAAACCTATTTCAACATAGACTAGAAGCATTTATTGATTTTTTTTTTTCTCATGTCTTTCTATCTGTTCTTATGAATGTGTAGTCACACACTCTGTCCTGTCAGTCTCCCTTTCCCAGCACTCCTACCACAAGGCGTGCCTTGCAAAGGACTTTGTCAGATGAGAGTATTTACAGTGGCCAAAGGGACCACTTCTTCACCTCGCGAGCCTCGCTCTTGGACCAAGCCATGCCAAATGATGTACTGTTCACCAGCACCTACCCTTCTCTCCCAAAGTCACTGCCGTTACGGAGACCATCGTACACTTTGGGAATGAAGTCACTACATGGTAAGTGCTTCCCATGTTTCTCCTTTCAGAGGAGCCCTTTGTGAACCATGGTAAGGGAAAATGGTTGTTACAGCAATTAGTTGCTTGCATCTAGATCTTGCTAAAATGAGGAAAGTCAAGTCACACGCCTGAAAATATGAAATAGGATGGGATTCCCACCCCCCCACTTCAATATAAGACTGAATAACTTGCAGCTGCCATGTGGATGTGCCAATTTGCCTCATCAGCTACAAGTTTTCATCATTTCTTCCACGAGTCGTCTGGACCAGTTGAACCAATGGGCAAATAAAATGTGTGGTTATCCACCAGTGACAACTTCAGGTGTAAGTTCCTTTAGCGCAGGATTATGAGAACCAAATGCTATTTGGAAAATTGTGTTGTAAATGTGGAAAACTACTGGCGGACATTTGGATGTACAACTACACAAGAGAGCAGCTTTTAAATTTATTCCCCTGCTCTATTCATTTTACAGGTCTTGAGGTACTTGTTTTAGTCACACATCAACAACTACCGAGAAAAAGTTACTTGGTAAACTGCTGTCAAGAAGGCACTCGGCCTTCCCCCATGGGTTTGCTGCAAGTTCTCAGTAGGATTATCTGAGAGGTTGTGTGTGGCTGCACGTGAATGCTTCAGTTGGTGAGAAAGGGAATTTTCACAGGTTCCCGCTGTACCTCATGACTGAATGTGTTTCCCAGAAATAGAGCTAGTTCTCAGTGTGCAATTCTGCAGTGTTTTCTGAAGAAGTACACATCTACTCCGATTTATTCACGCTTTAGTATGTTTGAAGAGGAAAACACAAGGCTATCAATAAACTCAGCTCACTGTAGTGGGCCCTAAGCATGATCTGTATTTAGATGCACAGGACACATTTGACAGCGAAGGCTGCTGAAGAAATCTATTTTAAATTCTTTTCATCTGTCTGGCATCAGTTTGCAGTGTTGAACCTGACATTTTCATGAGCTGTTGTCTATGTAAAACATGTTTCTTGTGTAAGAGGTAGGCAACCGAGCTCTCTTCACTTCTGCTTTTTATATGCACTGAAATAACTTTGCAGACTCGGTTGCACTTGTAACTGGCTGCTGGATTTGGCTTCTGAGGGCTTGGGGTCAGAAGATTAAGGATGCCATCTGAGTGGAAGCAGAAAGCAGCACTCGGTCTCTCTTTGTATAGACGCCTGTATTTCCCCAAAAGAAAACCACAAAACCTTCCGCTGTCACGTTCTCTTCCACACCAAACCCGTTGGTCCTCCTAGCACATAAGCTTTCCACATTTGTCAGCAAGATTTCCCGTTCCCTGTAAGACGTAAGGGCTGCATGATAAAAGGACCAGCTATCTGAGTGACACGTGAATTGTCTCCCCACACACGCTTGCCTTTGCCGAGAGAAGGATTAAGTAGAGCTGGATATTTAATACCACAAGTATTTGTTGGCTTCCAGCTATTCACACTTCTCTTAATTCAAAGATCTTAATAACAAAGAACAGCCGTTCCAGAGCACCTTCATTTGTTTGGAAGAGGGAAAACAGTGAGCTAAATATAATCTTATTTACTCAGCTGTCCTAGTTAACAACCCAACTCACTTTTAAAACAGGTAAGTTTTCAAATGTTTAAGTCTTTTTTCTTCTAGTACTGTGTATCTTGTCCCTAATTGTAAATATTTTCATGTTAACTTACCAAACAACTGCCCTCTCTTGGGGCGATAATACAAGAATCCTCAGTGTCAATATTAAGCTGAACTTATATTTATAAAAAGCAAACACACACAGAGACAGAAGAAAAAGGAAAAAAAAATCAAGATTTTTGAGCAAAACAGTGAATGCAGTGTAACTCCTCTGGTCATTGCTTCCCAGGCAGCAATATTATTTAGCTAAAGTTATTAGAAAGTAATTTTTGTTGTTGAAGTTATATAGTTACTAGACTATCAGGGAAAGAAAAGGCCAAAAATAAGCAACACAACCAGTGACATTTGTGTTCCCATGGCCTCGTGTCCTGCCCATCCCGCTGTCTTTCTGCTCTGGTCCATGTGGGTTCTTCACTAAACCGGGGTTCTCTACAGCTTCCTCCCAGGTGCCCAGTCCCATCTTCTCACCCTCACATCTCTTGTGTTTCTAGTGCCATCTACAAGTTTTTCACAACTCTTACGCCCCGACAGAGGGCATGAGGTGGTTGCTGCTTCTGAGCTTACACATGTGCTGACTGACCAGCAGTGCATGGTTTTTTTGATTGTCCAGCCAATAAACTGAAATAAAGTAGATAATTGTTCATTCATAATTTGGTCTTTCCCTGATTAGTGGCAATAATTCAAGTGTTTCACTTAGCTAGGCACCAGTTTGCACAGAAATTACAGGGAGTTTATATCCTCCTTTCAAGCTTGCCAATGTTTTTTCCATAGCAGGCCCTGTACCAACTTATGGGTGGGTGTGAGTACTTCTCAGTAAAGATCAAGAGGTTTCACTGGACTGCTGAGAGACGTCCAATGCTCTAGAAGTAATTTTAAGGGTTTTCTTGTTCTGATTCATCTTGGTAGGCCTTGGTCTGTTCCCACTGGTTTATGAGATTGTAAAGAGAGGAGGGGAAAAAAGTTTTGTATTTTTACAGGAGCAAATAGGTGCCAGGGAATGGAGAAGCCCCAGCAAGCTGCAGAGCCCTCTGCAGTAGCTCCAGCTTGCGCAGAGGCAGGAGTTGTTGGGCAGAAGAGCATCGTCCTCAGCCCCAGTGCTGGAGGGAGGCAGAGACTGGCTTTTGAAGTGCAAAGTTGCAGACTCAGGCAGGTTAGAAGGGAGCTGGGTGTCCTGGTGAGAAGCCCTGCCTCAGAAAACTGGCGTGTAACAACATGCTGTATCGGGTCAACTGCAGCTGGTCAAACATCCTGCTGAGTCCTGGTTCCAAAATTAAAAATAGGGATGCGTTGGTATTAGGAAAGGAGTTTTTGTTTTGTTTTGTTTCTTCAAATGGAGCTCATGATTTGTTCTGCATTACTCTAGGAGAGTTTTCTGCCTCAGACAGCTCCCTCACTGATATCCAGGAGCAAAGACGGCAGCCCATGCCAGACCCTGGTCTTATGCCATTGCCTGATTCTGCCTCTGATCTGGACTGGTCAAACTTGGTAGATGCTGCCAAAGCTTTTGAAGGTAAGTTTTCAGAATACACCACCTCGAAAGCTGCTCGTGGTGCATGCTTCATTAAGGGAGGGGTTTGGGTTTTTTAATCTTCACTTCTGCTTTTCTTGTTGTTACTGTTTCTACTTAGTCTGAAGCTTTGAAATAGCAACTCAAGCCTTAACAGCTTAAAGCTTTGCATGTAACACTCAGGTACTGTTTCTTCACACTGGAATCCCTCTGTGCCATGGTTTGGCCAAAGCTCTGTGGAACCGGCTACTTTTCATTTGGTGTAGAGCAGTTGCAGACATCACAGCTAGGCTGGAAAAGACATCTGGCACAACAGTGCAGAAGTCAAGTCAAATAGCAGGGGAAAAGCGCATGAGTGCACTAACGGTTGCTTGCTTACTGCACTAGCAAGAGATTTCTGTGGTGCAGCTGAAGTGCGCTGCTGAGGTAATTTGGGAAATACGCCTCCTTGGTTTATACTTTTTCATTGCCATTCATCTCTCTGCATACTCTGAATACGTAGACTTGCACGTAAGTGGTATCTGATCCTGTGGCACTTTCCATCTCCTAGACGCTTAGTAAACTGAAGTCAAGTGTAAGCCTCCTAGGTGTATTTGAATTTAAAATTAAATATGCATCAGCCCAAAGGGAGCTTACCTTACAGTTACTGTGCTGTGATGGAAAAGTCTTCTAGGCGTATTAAACGCAAGTGCATTTTCCTGATCTCTCCATAAATGCTGTGCCACCTTTGTGAAGGTGTTTTCACTGATCCTGAATCTCTTAGACATTATTATGCATGGCTGGAGAAGGCTGTGAAGGCTTTCTTGGCTGCTCTCTGGTAGTAGCCATAGACATCATTAAGACAGTGCGTGCTTAAGCTGGTGTTCAAGATGTTTGTGCTCTGCTCTATTGCCATAGAAATTTGTAGGATTAGCATGTTTCATTTCTGCTCTGCAGTCTTGGGAAAGAGAACTCAAAGTAAGCCTTAGTCCTTAAGAGGAGATAAATTTGTAGTAATCTCTTTTTCACCACCATATAGGGATGAAACCCAGGTTTTAATGCATTTTGCTGTGGTCAGCAATTTGTAGTAGATAAAGTCTTGTACTCCTGTTTCTCTTCAGAAGTGTGAACAAAGTCAGTGTGGTGAAGGTAACAAACTGACAGCTCAGTGAAGAAAAGCTGGGGCACTGTGCTGGCTGGCACCTTCATCTCACCGCTGTAAAAGTATATTCAGATTTGATTGGAGAGGGAACAGCAGTCTGTCCATATAATCCCAGCCTTTAGTCTCTGCCAGGTGCCAGTAGGGATTTACAAGTACCAAGCAGCCCCAATTCTGATTTGTGATCCTGGACACCTCTCTTCTACATCGTTGGTTGGTGTCCTCAGCACAAGCCCCCAAAGTTACAAATAGTGAGATCTGCAGCCGGCCGAAACAAAAGCTGTCTGGATCCCTGACCTACACCAACCATCAGTGTTTTCATTCAAAGGAAAAAGGAGAGGAGCAGAAAAAAAATCATCAGATACCAAGGCACATTTATTTTAGCCTTCTTGAAAGCACCGAATAAAAATTTGCCAAGCAAAAAAAATGACGATACTGTTCTAATACAGTGAGAGAACAGCAGCAGCTGAAATACAGAGAGAGGTTAATTTATTAAACCAAAAAATGTGTATGTTACTGTTTGTGCTAGGACACAGGGGTAGGCAGTAGCTTACAGCCACACCACATGTGATAGTGATTTAGAGATGTGTTAAGACATCTGAGCAGTCACAGGACAAAAAAGCACAGACACAAGGCAGGAAAGAGGTTTCCTGTCTCAATCTGAAAACGTTTTCTGAGGCGTAAGGAAAAAATTTCAAGCTCTGAAAAATTACATTAGTCATTTTACTTTCCACATTTAAATTGTGCACAGTGAGCTTTTCTTCCCTCCAGATAAAGGGATCCTTTATGGAGTGAAGGAAGCTCTGTCTACGGAGTTATTGGGTGGTGTCATGCAGTTGTACCCAGGAAGTTCAGCACAGCTCCTGTTCCAACTTTACTTCTTGTCTCTCTTTGGCCTTGGGTGGACGCTGTGAGTGCCACCAGGGTATCCCTGCTTTGCACTCTAGGATCTCCCTCTTGGAGGGCTGCTTTGCCTGAGGGAGATGCATTATCCACAGAGCACGTACTTGCATGGTGAATCCAGTACAGTGGAGCACCTGGTGCAAACACTTGCAATGCCAGTTTGCTTCTGTCAAGTGGATCTTGGTACGTTGTATCATCACCTTATCTTGCTTGAGACAGGCTTACTGGATTGCTTTGAGATCCTGCAGTGGAGCTGTTGCGCTCTGCATGAACAAATAACCATTACTGCTGCCTTTTCTGGATGTTTGCCTTCCCAGTTCAGCGAGCTTCCTTCTTTGCTGCTGCTGATGAAAATCACAGACCTGTGAGCGCCGCCTCCAGTAGTGATCAGGCTGAGGACCAGCTGACTGCACAGATAAAGCCTTACACAGGGTAAGTAAAGACACCAGCTACGCAGGCCTCCTCAGCCACAAACCGAGAAAAAGAGTAGGGACGTCTTTATTTGGAAGCCGTCTCCAGGCTTTGCAAACTCTTCCCCAGTTGTCATGAAGTGGGAAGTGAAAACAGAAGACTCGTCAGTACAGCTGAACCTTTCTGCAGGTTCTTTGTTGTCTGAGATGTTTGCGAATGTGTCCACAACAATGGTAATTCAAGGCACGTATAATGACTAGAAGTAGAGAGCAGTCGAATGATGGGATGGCTCCAGTTCATCATGAGTTAGGTTTGTTCTGTTGATTAGTGTGCTGCATGTGTTCCATGTGCACTCTGTTAGCTGCTTTTTGTTCATTTAGTGAATTCTTAGTGTACCTGAGTGCATACCTACTTAAAGCCACTTGGTATAGACGAGGCTGTTAGCTGCCCTATGTGGAGATGGTAAATCATCAGTACTGAGTGTTGTTTTCTGCTTTCCACAGTAAAGAATCTCCTCCAACTCTTGCTTCTAAAGTGGACCAACTGGAAGGTTTGCTGAAGATGCTGCAAGAGGATTTACGGAAGGTAAACTTCTAATCTATAGAAAATCTGTAGAATGATTATTTAGTGCTGAGAGGTGGTGCTGGTATCTGTGTAATCCTCCTTTGCCATGCCTGAGCCTGTGACAGTCTCAGCCTTGTATGAGAAGACATTGCTTTACTTCTTTTCTCAGGCTATCCTTCTAATTGTGCAAGGCTAGGGTGGAGTGTCTGAATTTGTAGGCATCGAATTCCTCTGCTTAAATTAGGAAGGTTGATTCTCAGAGTACCTCCGCTCCTAATTCAGGTGACAGTGGGATAGGCTTGAAGTTAGTCCATGTAAATACATCCTGCTGATGTTGGAAAAGGGAGTTATCTAAACGTTACTTCTACTGTGGAAACTTCCTGTACGGTGTTACTGCCTGCTTGCCCCAAGTAGGATCTGCTGTGGTCAGGTGAGAAGTCTCTTAGCTGGGGAACTGTTTGCAGGAATATTTCCTATCCCTTGTTTAGTTAAGCAGCAGCAGTTGTACATACATGTTGTATGTACAGAACAGGGCATGCCCAACTTTATTTTCCCACCCGGGGAGCCAGCTTCTGTGTTACAATTTAATGTAAAGAATTCCTGTCCATTCAAGCAAAAAGTGAGGAATGAAATGTCATAAATGTCCCTTAAAAAGAACAAGACTCATGGTCTCTCTTCAGAGATTCTTGCCTCTCTGTGTAGTTAGGAAGCATGACCTAAAAGTTCCACTAAGATCTGTGTTTCTCCTCATGCCTAAGGAAAAAGAGGACAAGGCCAGTCTTCAGGCTGAAGTGCAACATTTACGGGAAGACAACTTGAGGTTACAGGAGGAATCCCAGAACGCGACTGAGAAACTGAAGAAGTTCACCGAATGGGTTTTCAACACAATTGATATGAACTGAGAACAGCGTACGGGGAAGGAAACTTATCTGTTATGAATATTATTACTGGGACTTAAGCTTTAATGCCACCTTATCATGACATGTGAAAGTATAGTCAGAGCACTTCCCTGTCCTCCATCCTCCAATAACCCTTTTTTGCATCTCTGCGTGCACTCAGAACGATTGCAGATTAACAATCAATGTCTGCCTTTTGTAGAAAAAAAAACACAAAGTAAATAATTTTAAAAAGGTAAAATAAAAGTTTAACTGCTAAAATGTGAATGTCTATTTTTTGCACATTGTCTCTTTACCTGTTATGTACAAAATGATTTGGAGGCTGGATCAGGCTTGCTGTTCCGTCCGCCTCTGTTTCCATTAACTCCTTTCTCTCTGTTTCAGGTAATCTGCTTTTCCTTGCAGCTTTGGCAAATATTATGACATCTAGGAAATTAGAAAGAAATGTTTATTTTACTGCTCTTCTTACGTTGTTTTCTGAAGTATGCCACAGACAAGGGGATGTAATGCAATGTTTTAGGTGTCTCCTTAGCGATTTGCGCTTGATTGCTAGTGCTGCCTTCCCATCCGTTACAGAGAACGCGTGGCCATAGTGTGTGGTACAGGACAACCGCCATCGCAGCGTTTGGAGAGCGACTAGAGAGGTGAGCCATGGGTGAGGGGTATTATCACACATCTGTTGCATTAGCATTCCTGGTAGCCTTTGCTTCCTGTGGAAACGATGGCTGCAAGTCACTTTCTGAACAGCAAAACGAGGCATGCTGCAGTTCATACCCGATCAGGCAGGCTGAGAGATGCTGAGTACCGCTCAAGTATCGTCCCCTTCCCTCCCAGGGGAATCTGTTACTTGCATATGTGCAGAAGACTTAGGCTGAAGTTGTAAAGAGATTTAAGATTTCTTTCCCCTGAGCTGTTTCCGTGAAAATCCACACAAACCATCTCCGTGCCCCTGCCCTCCCGTTCCATTTCTCTGGACTTCTCAAATCACAGCGATTTGAGAATCGTTTCTTCAACTTGTGTTTATTACATGAGAGGTCTTGTAAACCTTTTGCTACGGTAGACAGAGGAATATGTAAAGGTGAATTGGAGAAGTGTATTTTTCAAAGTGCTGGGATAGGATTGGAGCTCTGAAATCCCCAATCCCCAGTGAAACCGTCTAGCATGAGATTTCCCAAACTGCCTCATGCCAGGAAAGTTAATTTCTTGTTCTTTGAAGGAACAGCTAACTTGCCACAACGTGTTACCTCTCCAGAAAATACCTTTTGGGTGTCAGAATGCAGCTTTTAAATGGCACAGTTTGCACAGGCGTTGAACTGTGCACTGTGCTGAGAAACCTTTTCTACTCCCTTCCGAGGATCCAGTCACTACCTGACCGAGCATTGCCTTGCGTAAAGTGCAGTGCAGTTGGGGGTTAACTTCTAGAGCATCCACTCCCTCCCCTTTACCACGTTCTCAAGTGGACAGATTAAAATCATTGGGCATAGTCACGTCACAGAAACTTCCACACTCCTTTCAAATCCCTTTTTCATGCTCTTTAATCTTGCTCCACACAAGTACACACTACACTTCAACATCAAACTTCACTTGTGATGCTAATCCCCATGGAGTTCTCCTCTGATGTTTTGTCATGGAAATGGATCTCTTTGGAACTATTTCTGGAGCGCTTTTGTAAAGGTTTAGAATGTCTTGGGTTTTTTAATGACTTGTATGAAGGAGATTTATATAATGCCTGATATTATTTGTAAATGGGAAATATTGCTAACATCTCTGAGCATCCTGAAGTCTTGCTTTTATTCTCTTTTATTTTTAAGTTTGGTTTTTATTTTATTTCAAAAATATTTTGGGACTTGGGGCAGACTATTTATTAGAGTTTTGCAACAGAGTTCTTCTTGTATGATGCCATGAAGGCTACTTGTAAAATTCTGACAATAAAACTCATTTTAAAGGCTCTTCTAAACCATTTTCTCCTGATTTTGTTGGGTTTGTTGTTTAAGACTTTAGTCTAGAGTGTCCTATTGCTTCCTGCTCTCTTGTACCACCTATCTCAGTGCTTAGTGATAGAAGAGTTTCATTCTTCATCAGATTTCTGCTTTTTATCCCTATGAAGGCCATTACTTGGTAAGTATACACACACTTCATGCCTTGACTTTTTTACTTGTATTACTGCACAGATGTATTTGCTTCCATCAGTTACAAGGGTTTGCTGCCTTTAACAGTGACTCAAAGCTTGGAAAAAGAGGGGCAGTGGTTTTTTAATAATTTTTTCAGGATTTTTTTCAACTTAATTTAAAAAACTGAAGCCGATTTAGGTCAAAACCGAACTCACCTGGCACATCTACCCAAAGGCATGCACAGCTTTCAGCATCCCAGAGCCAAACGGAACCTGTGAGCATGCACCATTAGGTATGAGGTTTGTTTTGTTTTCCAGATCTCCTCCTCTGACTTGGGAGATGACCTTGGATGTGTTTTGAACAGCCCCTTTTTTTTTTTTGGCCCAGTGGATCAGCATCCTGCACAGCTCAAAAATGTGAAACTAGGTCGGTGTGCAGGAAAGTGTCTGCCAGGTTCAGTGAACAGCTCCTTAAAAGAAAAGGCGCCTGGGGAAAGAAAATCCATCTCTTTCTAGCAGTGAAGTTAACCGACCGAGAGAGCTCTGAAGCAGCACGAGCAAATAGAAGCATCTGATTGAAAAATGGAGGTTGAATCTTGGGAAGAAGACTAAATGTCTTATCATCTGTAATTGGATACTGGTAACTGAGTTGAAGCGGAAAGTTTCCTGCAGGTCTAGGAGTTGCCCCTGCCCACATTCATAATCAAGTCACACCAGAGGTTGCCATGCTCCGCTGTGCACACTGCGAGGTCAGCCTAGGCCAGGGCAAGATTTAACTTGCAGCATCTCCTTACAGCCTGAGTAGTTACTGGCCTAAGCAGAAGGCAGGTGGCTGTGGGAGGAGTGTGGGTTACAGGGGCTGCCTTTCTATTTCACCCATTTCCCAAGAAGGTGATGTTTTTATATTATCATAGAATCACAGGATGGTTTGGGTTGGAAGGGACCTTAAAGATCCCATGGGCAGGGACACCTCCACCAGCCCAGGCTGCTCAAAGCCCTGTCCAACCTGGCCTTGAACACCTCCAGGGAGGGGGCATCCACAGCTTCCCTGGGCAACCTGGGCCAGTGTCTCAGCACCCTCACAGTAAAGGATTTCTTCCTAATATCCAGTCTAAATCTACCCCCTTATAGTTTGAAACAGTTACCCCTCATCCTACCACTAAATGCCCTTGTAAAAAGTCCTCTCCAGCTTTCTTGTAGGACCCCTTTAGGTACTGGAAGGTTGCTATAAGGTCACCCCAGAGTCTTCTCCAAGCTGAACAGCCCCAACTCTCTCAGCCTGTCTTGACAGGGAGGCGCTCCAGCCCTCTGATCATCTTCGTGGCCTCCTCTGGACTTGCTCCAACAGCTCCATGTCCTTCTTATGTTGGAGGCCCCACAGCTGGATGCAGTACTCAGGTGGGGTCTTAGAAGAGCAGAGTAGAGGGGCAGAATACTCCTGGATACAGTTCTGTATTCCTTGTCTGTGTTCCAGTGCAAAGGTGCTGTTCTCCCTGTGACGGTGTTTTGGACAGCCAGAGGTGGCTGGTACAGCAGCAGAAGGCTGCCTTCTCTCAAAGTCCCCAGATCAGGGAGGGTGACCACAGGGGTCTGCAGCTTGCGCGATGGATGCTCTCAGAAGTGAAGCAGGGTGTGGGTAATCCCACAGAGGAGCTGGGATTGTGAGGGGAGAGGCTGGTGGGAAGGGGACTCGGGAGCCAGCTACAGGGTTAGGGCAGAAATGCTGTGGGGATGAAATGCAACACATTCAGCTTTCATTCCGAAACTGTGGTGGCTGTACAATAGCCTGTTGTTTCTGTGGGAAGCTGTGTTCCAGCCCGATGAATGGGTATTGTGAGGAAGCATTTTCCCCAGCTTTTCCTTTTGTGGGAAAGGTCCCCGTGAACCAGACACAACCTGGGAGGGTTATCTCATCTGTTTTTAAAATGTTTATGTAGTCCTCTCGTCTCCTAGTAGACCGTTAGCAAATTCTCTTTCAAAGCATTTGGCTGTCTCCTAGCAGACACTTCAGTGTGGTGCTGGGCCTGTATGGGAGCAACTTGCTTTGCTGCCAGACAGCAGGGGAACAGAGGTGGCTGCTGTTTACCAGCTGGTACAGCATCCAAAACTGGATTCCCTGAAGAGAGATTGCACTGTTCCTCCTCCACCACTGCATTTGGAGCAGAGACATGAGCTTTGCTGAGGTGGTTACTATGGACAGGAGCTGGGCAATGAGATGAGGTGACTTGTACAGGTGCCTTCACCTCTTCCTGACATTACTGTGGTGAGGAAATCCTTGCTGTGCTGTTTGAGGCAAAGCTGGAGGGGAAAGAGCTTATAGAAATATTTACTGCAGTAAGAGCCCCTTTCCCAAGCAGAGTTTTCAGCTTCAGCTGGGTGTGAGGGGAGCCAGGCTGAGGCATCTGTATGAGTTGAACTTGGAGACCAAGGTCTGGGAACCACTGCTGGCTGCAGGGAGGACCTTGCAGGGTTTTGTACCACTTGGTGTGCAGGGCCACAGCAGGCAAGTCCCTCTCTCCAACTTCTGTGCTTGCATGGACCTGTCTCCCTCCAGAAGATTTCAGTATGTCACTACCAGCTTGCGTTTCTCCCAGAAGTTTGGTCTCTGAATGATTTAGAGTGCGCTGGGCTGTCTGTGGCATGGCAAAGCATGGACAACTTGAGTGGGAGCTCCCACCACAAGTAAATCCGGGGTGCTGCAGCAAGCTGCGTGGCCTTCCCAAAGTGCATGGGCAGGGGCTGCAACCTCCAACCGAGGCAGGGTCAGCTCTGGTGTCAGACCACGTTGCTCAGGACTTTATCCAGTCAGGTCTTAGAAAAACCTCCAAAGATGGAGACCACATGGTCTCCAGGCAATGTATGACTGTCCTCATCATGGAAAAGTTTTTATCAGTCAGAGTAATTAGTAGAAATGTGTGACCTTGGCAGCAGTTGCAGGCTACATTTTGCCTATGTTCCTCCAGGAGCTCCTGACACAGGAGTCTGTACCCTCCTTGAAAGCCTGTGAGCTGTCCCCTGCCTGGGGCCAGCAGCACAGCACCCACCTTTGCTTTCCCACTCTTAGCCTGGCAGGACGGAGGCCCTGCGTCTTGGTGTGTGCTGAGCTTTGTTTGCTCCACTGGTCAACCTCCTCCAGTACAGTTCTGATGTT